CAATATTTCCTCCTATTTTTTTTAAATGTCATTCTAGCTTTTTCAACTATTTGCCAAATAAATGTCATTTTGGATATATTGTACATATTTTTCCATTATTACTCTCATTTAGCCAATAAATACATTACGTCTTTTCATATTCACTTTTCACTTTTTCTCAAAACATTCATCTCTATCTTCATTAAATAAGGTTATTATTGACAAAAAAAATATTCTTAATTAGTGTGTAACTTTTCAATAATTGTCCCACCAATAATAATAAGCCTTAAAGTGAATAAGTTGGTCTTTTTATAACTTTTTTATCTTCTTCATTATGTTAATTTAAATGCTAACAGTCATCAAAAGGTGATTTATCCAATCTCAAGAAGTCTGCAGAAGTTGGTAATCTAGACCGTATCTTCGACTTTGACCAATTATTGTTACTGCCTTTGTAAAAAGTTGTTCTCTAACTAATTACTAGTATAGTATTGTGAGATGTACGGCCTAATTTTATTAAGGTAATCACTAATATTTAGATTACTGGAAGAACTTAAAAATTATGTATTATTTTTAAAACAAAATGTAAATTATATATTATTAAAGAGAAAACAATAATGGATCATTTAAAATAAACATTTGACACATATATATATATAGATTTCTAAATAGGCTTAAATAAATCAATTAAATTATTCAGCAGGATATATATGATATAATTTATACTGGTTTTATGAAGATTGCATAACAAAATACAACGGAGATTGTAAAACGTATTTTTTGATAATTTATAGTTTTATTATTTTAAAATTGTATTTACTTAATTTTGGGAATGAAAAAATTGTGTACGCGTATGCAATCAATTTCAAAATTGTATTTTATAAGATTAAACAAAGCCCAAATTTTTAGGTTGTTCTAATTTAATTTCATTTTAAAGTTCTAATTAATATTATTTAACTTTGTTTTATGTTTAAAAAAAAAAATCGAACTAAAGAAAGTAGTAGCCAAATGATATGAGGTTTTTAAATTTTTAATTATTAATTTGAAATTGGGCCGATTTCTCTGCAATCTGAATTTTTCAATAAACATGATCTGTTGCAATTAGGTAAAGATACAACATATTTTTCCTAATTCGAAATTCTTGATTTTCGGGTAAACAATTTTTTTAATAAAAACTGAGAGAATTTTGACTTTTACAAAATTGTCATACCGAATTTTACCTAAATTTACCCATTTCTATGCAATCCAGTTTTTTAATAAACAATTGATTTGTTGCAATTAGAAAATATATATGAAATAGTATTTTGTCTAATTCGAAATTCTTGATTTTATGGTAACTATTTTTTCTATTAAAAAATGAGAAAGAATTTTGACTTGTGCAAAATTGTAATCATCAGTCGAAATTTACCTAAATCAAATCCACAATACCCATAAATTTAGGGTGCATATATAACTGCTCGTTTTTCTTTTGGGATAATTTAAAAAAAAAATTTAAAAAAAACTGCAAAAAGTAAAATACAGTAAATGATACTACCTCCTATTCTTTTTAAATGTCATTTTGGTATTATCAACTATTAGCAAAATAAATGTCGTTTTGGATATTTTGTACATATTTTTCCATTATTACCCTCATCTAGCTAATAAATACACTACGTCTTTTCATATTAACTTTTCATCTTTTCTCAAAACATTCATCTCTATCTTCATTAATGAGGGTTATTATTGGCAAAAAAAATATTCTCAATAAGTGTGTAACTTCTCAAAACGACATTTATTATGAATAGGAGGGAGTAGTTGACTTTTATTGCTATAGTAAATACGTTATTTTTTTTATATATATATATGTAAAGGTTTCTTAAATGAATGAATCGAGGTGCATCTAAATTCGACTTTTGACAAAGGAACAAATTGGAGCACGCCATCTATTCAAGATACTAATCATCACTACAAAAAGAAACTAATTACACACATATTTTGATGACATAATTGATAATTCCATGTATAATTACTTTTTGTTGTAATCTAGATTGTCAATATGTAAGATAAACAAAGAGAGAAAGTAGTAGAAGAGAAAGAGAGGGAAGAGATACGCCGTAAAGTCATCATCTTATTCATTCACTTGAGACCTATATATAAGGGAATACAATGTACATGAGTAAAGACCTAATGGGCTCCTGGCCCATACCTACAAATCCTATATCTAGGTAATGTCCACAAATTAATATTTACAACACTCCCCCTTGGACATTACCGCATCATGTCTATGCGTAGTTAAAAACCTAGCTGCAAAACCCTGTAGGAAAAAGCAGTCGAGGAAAAGAGTACATAACATATGCAAATTTATGTATACTGCCTCGTTAAAAACCTCACTAAGTAAAACCCAATGGGAAAAAAGACTTAGTCAAGGGAAAAAAAGTACAGCACCGGCCAACAGGGCCTAATTTTTAGGATTATAATTAATCTTCCGGGCTCGATCTTCGAGAGTTATTTATCGCTCCCCCTGAAGGGAAAACCTTTTTAGTTACATACATAATTGTATGTTGCTCCCCCTCAAGGTAAGAGTTTCTAACATAAAATCGTCATTTATTGCTCTTCTGGAGTTTATATAGATTCAAAAATATCATCAAAT